CCAATCTCCCCAACCCCCCAATGTCCCCAATGCCCCCAAATCCCCAATCCCCCAATGTCCCAAATGTCCCCCAATGTCCCCAAATCCCCCTAATGTCCCCAAATGTCCCCAATCCCTTCCAACATCCCCAACACTCCCAATCCCCCTCAATGTCCCAAACCCCCAATGTCCCCAAATCCCTCCAATCCCCCAATGTCCCCAATGTCCCCAATGTCCCCAAATCCCTCCAATCCCCCAATTCTCCCAGTGTCCCCAAAGTCCCCAAATCACCCCCAACATCCCAAGTGTCCCCAATGGCCCCAAACCCCCCCAATGTGCCCAACACCACCAAATCCCCCAATGCCCCCAAATCCCCCAATGTCCCCAAGTCCCTCCAATGTCCCCAATCCCTTCCAACATCCCCCAATGTCCCCAATCCCCCAATGTCCCCAATCCCCCAATGTCCCCAAATCCCCCAGTGTCCCCCAATTCCTCCAATGTCCCCAAATCCCCCAAATCCCCTCAATGTCCCCAATGTCCCCCATGTCCCCAAATCCCCCAATGTCCCCAAATGTCCCCAAATCCCCCCAACATCCCAAGTGTCCCCAATGTCCCCAAATCCCCCAATGTCCCCAATCCCCCCAAATGTCCCAATGTCCCCAATCCCTTCCAACATCCCCAATGTCCCCAATCCCTCCAGTGTCCCCAAATCCCCCCAATGTCCCCAATGTCCCAACACCCCAAATCCCCCAATATCCCCAATCCCCCAATGTCCCCAACCCCCCAATGTCCCCAAATCCCCCAATGTCCCCAACATCCTAATCCCCAATGTCCCCAACCCCTCAATGTCCTCAATCCCCCAACATCCCCAATCCCCCAATGTCCCCAAATCCCCCAAATCCCCCAATGTCCCCAATCCCCCAACATCCCAAGTCCCCAAATGTCCCCAAATCCCCCAAATCCCCCAATGTCCCCAAATCCCCCAATGTCCCCAATCCCCAATGCCCCCAAATCCCCCAAATGTCCCTAACCCCCAATGTCCCCAAATCCCCAACACCCCAATCCCCTAATGTCCCCAATGTGCCTAACACCACCAAATCCCCCAACATCCCCAATCCTCCAATGTCCCCAAATCCCCCAAATCCCCCAACATCCCAAGTGTCCCCAAATGTCCCCAAACCCCCAATCCCCCCAATGTCCCCAAATCCCCCAATGCCCCAACCCCCAATGTCCCCAAATCCCTCCAATGTCCCCAATCCTCCCAACATCCCCAATGTCCCAATCCCCAAATGTCCCCAATGTGCCCAACACTCCAAATCCCCCAATGTCCCCAAATCTCCCCAATGTCCCCAATGTCCCCAAATCCCCAGCACCCTAATCCCCAATGTCCCCAATGTGCCCAATCCCCCAAATCCTCCCATGTCCCCAATCCTCCCAACATCCCAAGTGTCCCCTAAAGTCCCCCAGTGTCCCCAAAAGCTCCCAATGTCCCCAATCCCCCAAATCCCCCAATGTCCCCAAATCCCCAATGCTCCAACCCCCAACATCCCCAATCCCCCAATGTCCCCAAATGTCCCCAAATTCTTCCCAAATCCCTCAACATCCTCAATCCCCCAATGTCCCCAAATGTCCCCAAATGTCCCCAAAGCCTCCCAACCCCCAATGTCCCCAATCCCCCAAATCCCTCAACATCCCCAACATCCCCCAACATCCCTCAACATCTCCAACCCCCAATGTCCCCAACCCCCAATGTCCTCCAAATCCCCTCAACATCCCCAATGTCCCCAATGTCCCCGACCCTCCCAACATCCCAAATCCCCAAATCCCCCAATGTCCCAAATGTCCCCAATCCCCCAACCCCCAATGTCCCCAATCCCCCAATGTCCCCAAATCCCCCAAATCCCCCAATGTCCCAAATCCCCCCACATCCCCAAAGCCCCCAATCGTCCCGCTGTCCCCCAGCGATTACATCATCAAGGAGAAGACGGTTCTGCTGCAGAAAAGGACAGCGAGGGCTTCGGTCTCGTCCTGCGGGGGCCAAGGGTGAGGGGGCTTGGGGGATTTGGGGGTCCTGGAGGGGCTTGGGGGCCAAGGTGAGGGGGGCTTGGGGGCATTTGGGAGGGTCCTGGAAGGGCTTGGGGGCCAAAGTGAGGGGGCTTGGGGGCCTGGAGGGGTTTGGGGGCAAAAGGTGAGGGGGGCCTTGGGGGGATTTGGGGGATTTGGGGGACCTGGAGGATTGGGGGCCAAGGAGTGAGGGGGCTTGGGGGATTTGGGGGATTTGGGGGATTTGGGAGGCCTGGAGGGGAGTTGGGGGCCAAGGGTGAGGGGGGCCTTGGGGGATTTGGGGGATTTGGGGGGACCTGGAGGAGTTGGGGGCCAAGGGTGAGGAGGGGGTCTTTGGGGGCTTCAGGGGTCCTGGAGGGGTTTGGGGGGTCCTGGAAGGGCTTGAGGGTCCTGGAGAGGCTTTGGGGGATTTGGGGGGATCCTGGAGGGGTTTGGGGGTCCTGAAGGGGTTTGGGGGTCCTGGAGGGTCCTGGAGGGGCTTGGGGGCCAAGGGTGAGGAGGGGGCTTTGGGGGCCTTGGGGAGGTCCTGGAGGGGTTTGGGGGGGTTCCTGGAAGGGCTGGGGGGATCCTGGAGGGTCTTTGGGGGGTCCTGGAGGGGTCTGGGGGGTCCTGGAGGGGGTTTGGGGGGGTCCTGAGGGGCTTTGGGGGAGTCCCAGAGGGGGACTGGGGGCCAAGGGTGAGGGCAGGGGGCTTTGGGGGGCTTGGGGAGGTCCTGGAGGGTTTGGGGGTCCTGGAAGGGCTGGGGGGTCCTGGAGGGTCTTTGGGGGGTCTGGGGGCTCAGGGGGTCCTGTGAGGGATCTGGAGGGTCTTGGGGGGTCCAAGGGGCCTCCTGGGGTGGTTCCATGGGGTCTCTCTGTGGGTTGGGGGTCTCTGAGGTGATTTGGGGGTCCCATGGGGGTCCCGGTGCTGACCCTCCCCCACAGCGCAGACCCCATCGAGGAGTTCACCCCACCCACCCCCACATTCCCTGTGTGGTCACTGGGGGTCCCTGTGGGTCGGGGGTCTCTGGGGTGGGTTGGGGGTCCCATGGGTGATTTGGGGGGGGGTCCTGGTGCTGACAGGGCCCCCCCCCCACAGCGCAGACCCCCATCGAGGAGTTCACCCCCACGCCGGCGTTCCCGGCCCTGCAGTACCTGGAGTCGGTGGACGAGGGGGGCGTGGCCTGGAGGGCGGGGCTGCGCATGGGAGACTTCCTGATCGAGGTGAGACCCCCCCCAAAATCCACCTGAACTCACCTGTGGGCACAGGGACCCCCCTAAACCCCCTCACACCCACCTGCACTCACCTGTGGGGGAGACTTCCTGATCGAGGTGAGACCCCCCCCAAAACCCACCTGGACTCACCTGTGGGCACAGGGACCCCCCTAAACACACCTGAACTCACCTGTGGGGCACAGGGAGCCCCCCAAAACCCCCCCACACCCCCCTGCACCCACCTGGACTCACCTGAACTTACCTATGGGCACAGGGACCCCCCTAAACACACCTGAACTCACTTGAACTCACCTGTGGGGGAGACTTCCTGATCCAGGTGAGACCCCCCCCAAAACCCACACACACACCTGGACTCACCTGTGGGGCACAGGGACCCCATCACACCCCCCACACCCACCTGGACTCACCTGTGGGGCACAGGGACCCCCCACACCCACCTGAACTCACCTGTGGGGCACAGGGACCCCCCACACCCACCTGAACTCACCTGTGGGCACAGGGACCCCCTCCCCACACCTGGACTCACCTGTGGGCACAGGGACCCCCCCACACCCACCTGCACCCACCTGTGGGGGCGACTTCCTGATCCAGGTGAGACCCCCGGGACCCACCACAGGTGTGTGCAGGGCTGTGACCTCATGTCCAGGTGTGCCCAGGTGTGTCCAGCTGTGCTCAGGTGTGTCCAGGTGTGCTCAGGTGTGTGCAGGTGTGTCCCCACATGTCCAGGTGTGTCCAGGTGTGCTCAGGTGTGCCCAGGCATGTTCAGGTGTGTGCAGATGTGTCCCCACATGTCCAGGTGTGTCCAGGTGTGCTCAGGTGTGTCCAGGTGCCTTCAGGTCCATCCAGATGTGTCCAGGTGTGCTACCACATGTCCAGGTGTGTGCAGGTGTGTGTCCAGGTGTGTGACCTCATGTCCAGCTGTGTCCAGCTGTGCTCAGGTGTGTCACCACATGTCCTGGTATGTCCAGGTGTGCTCAGATGTGTCCAGGTGTGTCACCACATGTCCAGGCATGTCCAGGTGTGTCCAGCTGTGCTCAGGTGTGTCCAGCTGTGCTCAGGTGTATCCAAGTGTGCCCAGGTGTGCTCAGGTGTGTCACCACATGTTCTGGCATGTCCAGGTGTGCTCAGGTGTGTCCAGGTGCCTTCAGGTTCATCCAGATGTGTCCAGGTGTGTGACCACATGTTCAGGTGTGTCCAGGTGTGTGACCTCATGTGCAGTTGTGTCCAGATATGTAACCACGTGTCCAGGTGTGTGAACACATGTCCAGGTGTCACCAGGTGTGTCCAGGTGTGTGACCTCATGTGCAGTTGTGTCCAGATGTGTAAACACATGTCCAGGTGTGTGAACACATGTCCAGATGTGTCCAGGTGTGCTCAGGTCCACCCAGGTGCATTCAGGTCCACCCAGGTGTGCTCAGGTCCATCCAGGTGTGTGCAGCTGTGTGAACACATTTCCAGGTGTGTCCAGGTGCGCTCAGGTCCATCCAGGTGTGTGACCACATGTGCAGGTGTGCTCAGGTGTGCTCAGGTGTGTGCAGGTGTATGAACACATGTCCAGATGTGTCCAGCTGTGCTCAGGTCCATCCAGGTGTGTCCAACTGTGTGAACACATGTCCAGATGTGTCTGTGTGTAGTGTGTGAAAACATGTCAGATGTGTCGTGTGCTCAGTCCATCAGGTGCCAATGTGTGAACACATGTCAGCTATCCAGGTGTGCTCAGTCACCAGTGTGTTAGTCCATCAAGTCCGTGTGTTGCACATGCAGGTGTGTCCAGGTGTGTTCAGGTCCATCCAGGTGCGTTCAGGTCCATGCAGGTGTGTGCAGGTGTATGAACACATGTCCAGATGTGTCCAGGTGTGTTCAGGTCCACCCAGGTGTGCTCAGGTCCATGCAGGTGTGTGCAGGTGTGTGAGCACATGGCCAGATGTGTCCAGGTGTGCTCAGGTCCATCCAGGTGTGCTCAGGTCCATCCAGCTGTGTCCAGTTGTGTCCCCACATGTTCTGGCATGTCCAGGTGTGCCCAGGTGTGTCCAGGTGCCTTCAGGTTCATCCAGGTGTGTGACCACATGTGCAGGTGTGCTCAGGTGTGTGACCTCATGTGCAGTTGTGTCCAGATGTGTAACCACGTGTCCAGGTGTGTCACCACATGTCCAGGTGTCACCAGGTGTGTCCAGGTGTGTGACCTCATGTGCAGTTGTGTCCAGATGTGTAACCACGTGTCCAGGTGTGTGGACACGTGTGCAGGTGTGTCCAGGTGTGCCCAGGTGTGTGACCTCATGTCCAGGTGTGTCCAGGTGTGTGCAAGTGTGTGGCCAAATGTCCAGATGTGTCCAGGTGTGCCCAGGTGTGTCCAAGGGTGTCCAGGTGTGCTCAGGTGTGCTCAGGTGTGTCCAACTGTGTGAACACATGTCCAGATGTGTCCAGGTGTGCTCAGATCCATCCAGGTGTGTCCAGGTGTGTTCAGGTCCACCCAGGTGCGTCCAGGTCATGGCAGGTGTGTGCAGGTTTGTGAACACATGTCCAGATGTGTCCAGGTGTGTTCAGGTCCATCCAGGTGTGCTCAGGTCCATCCAGGTGCATTCAGGTCCATCCAGGTGTGTGCAGGTGTGTCAGGTGTGTCCAGCTGTGTGACCACATGTCCAGGTGTGCTCAGGTGTGCCCAGGTGTGCAGGTGTGTGAGCACATGTCCAGATGTGTCCAGGTGTGCTGGGGTGTGCAGGTGTGCAGGTGTGCCCTAACTCCATTCCCTCTGTAGCACATGCCCTGTGATGTCACCTGTGCCACACCTGTGTCCCACCTGTGCCACCTGTGCACAGGTGAAGGGGCAGAACGTGGTCAGGGTGGGGCAGGGGGTGTGTCCAGGTGTCAGGCATGTGTCCCTGTATGATGTCACCTGTATGACATCACCTGTGCGATGCCACCTGTATGACATCACCGCTCACCTGTGTGACATCACTGCTCACCCATGTGACGTCACTGCCCACCTGTGCAGGTGAACGGTCTGAACGTGGTGAGGGTGGGGCAGGGGGTGTGACCAGGTGTCAGACACCTGTCCCTGTATGACATCACCTGTCCCTGTATGATGTCACCTGTCCCTGTATGATGTCACCTGTATGACGTCACCCCTATGACGTCACTGCCCACCTGTGCACAGGTGAACGGTCAGAACGTGGTGAGGGTGGGGCAGGGGGTGTGCCCAGGTGTCAGACACCTGTGCCTATATGACATTACCTGTCCCTGTATGACATCACCGCTCGCCTGTATGACATCACCTGTGTGACGTCACCTGTGTGACGTCACCTGTGTGACATCACCTGTGTGACGTCACCTGCTCACCTGTGTGCAGGCGAAGGGGCAGAAGGTGGTGAAGGTGGGGCAGGGGGTGTGTGCAGGTGTCAGACACCTGTCCCTGTATGACGTCACCTGTCCCTGTATGACGTCACCTATCCCTGTATGATGTCAACCGTATGACGTCACTGCTCACCTGTCCCTATATGACCTTACCTGTCCCTGTATGACATTACCTGTCCCTGTATGACATCACTGCTCACCTGTATGACATCATCTGTGTGACATCACCTGTCCACCTGTGCACAGGTGAAGGGTCAGAACGTGGTCAGGGTGGGGCAGGGGGTGTGTCCAGGTGTCAGGCACCTGTCCCTGTATGATGTCACCTGAATGACATCACCTGTACGATGCCACCTGTATGACGTCACCGCTCACCTGTATGACATCACCGCTCACCTGTATGACGTCACCTGCGTGACATCACCTGTGTGACGTCACCGCTCACCTGTGCGCAGGTGAACGGTCAAAAGGTGGTGAAGGTGGGGCAGGGGGTGTGTGCAGGTGTCACACACCTGTCCCTGTCGGACACCTGTCCCTGTATGACGTCACCTGTATGACGTCACCCCTATGACGTCACTGCTCACCTGTATGCAGGTGAACAGTCAGAACGTGATGAGGGTGGGGCAGGGGGTGTGTGCAGGTGTCAGACACCTGTCCCTGTATGACGTCACCTGTCCCTGTATGATGTCACCTGTGTGACATCACCTGTACAATGCCACCTGTGTGATGTCACTGCTCACCTGTACAGGTGAATGGTCAGAACGTGGTGAGGGTGGGGCACCGGCAGGTGGTGAACATGGCATTACCTGTCTGTGTGATGTCACTGCTCACCTGTGTGATGTCACCTGTGCCCAGGTGAATGGTCAGAACGTGGTGAAGGTGGGGCACCGGCAGGTGGTGAACATGGCATTACCTGTCTGTGTGATGTCACTGCTCACCTGTGTGATGTCACTGCTCACCTGTACAGGTGAATGGTCAGAACGTGGTGAAGGTGGGGCACCGGCAGGTGGTGAACATGGCATTACCTGTCTGTGTGATGTCACTGCTCACCTGTGCTCACCTGTACAGGTGAATGGTCAGAACGTGGTGAAGGTGGGGCACCGGCAGGTGGTGAACATGGCATTACCTGTCTGTGTGATGTCACCTGTGCCCAGGTGAATGGTCAGAACGTGGTGAAGGTGGGGCACCGGCAGGTGGTGAACATGGCATTACCTGTCTGTGTGATGTCACTGCTCACCTGTGTGATGTCACTGCTCACCTGTGTGATGTCACTGCTCACCTGTGCCCAGGTGAATGGTCAGAACGTGGTGAAGGTGGGGCACCGGCAGGTGGTGAACATGGCATTACCTGTCTGTGTGATGTCACTGCTCACCTGTGCCCAGGTGAATGGTCAGAACGTGGTGAAGGTGGGGCACCGGCAGGTGGTGAACATGGCATTACCTGTCTATGTGATGTCACTGCTCACCTGTGCAGGTGAATGGTCAGAACGTGGTGAAGGTGGGGCACCGGCAGGTGGTGAACATGGCATTACCTGTCTATGTGATGTCACTGCTCACCTGTGCAGGTGAATGGTCAGAACGTGGTGAAGGTGGGGCACCGGCAGGTGGTGAACATGATCCGCCAGGGCGGGAACAGCCTCGTGCTGAAGGTGGTGATGGTGACGCGGCACCCGGAGCCCCCCGAGGGACCCCGGCGCAGGGGTGAGGGGGGGGCACCTGGGGGTCCTGGGTACCTGGGGGTCCTGGATACCTGGGGGCACCTGGAGCCCCCGAGGGACCCCGGCGCAGGGTGAGGGGGCACCTGGGGGGGCACCTGGGGAGTCCTGGGGTCCTGGATACCTGGGGGCACCTGAGCCCCTGAGGACCCAGCGCAGGGTGAGGGGGCACCTGGGGGGGTCCTGGGTACTGGGGGTGTCTGAGTACCTGGGGGTCCTGGGTACTGGGGGTGTCTGAGTACCTGGGGGCACCTGGAGCCCCCGAGGACCCCGGCGCAGGGGTGAGGGGGCACCTGGGGTTCCCAAATACCTGGGGGGTCCTGGAGGGTCTCAACTATGTGGGGGAGGTCCTGGATACTTGGGGAGGTCCTGGGGGTTCTGGATACCTGGATGGGGGTCCTGGGGGGCAAAGGTAAGTGGGGAGGGGTCCTGGGTACCAAGGGGGTGTCCTGGATAAGTGTGGGGGGTCCTGAGGTACCTGGGGGTCCTGGGTAAATGGGGGGGTCCTGGGTACCTGGGGGTTCTGGATACCTGAGGGGGTCCTGGATACCTGGATGGGGGTCCTGGAGGTGAACCAGGTAAGTGGGGAGGGTCCTGGATATCTGAGGAGGGGTCCTGGGTACCTGGTGGGGTGTCCTGGGTAAGTGGGGAGGGGTCCTGGACACTTGGGGAGTCCTGGATACCTGCGGGGGGTCCTGGATAACGGGGGGTCCTGGGTACCTGGGGAGGGGTCCTGGGGTCCCAAATATGTGGGGAGGGGTCTAAGGGGGTCCTGGATACTGGGGGGTCCTGGATAATTGGGGGGTCCTGGATACCTGGGGGTTCTGGGGGTCCCAAATACCTGGGGGGTCCTGGGGGGTCCTGGATACCTGGGGGATCCTGGGAGTCCCAACTACCTGGGGAGTTAGGGTGTCCCAGGTAACACCCGTGGGGTCCCCGGGGATGGGTAGGGTCTCTGACCCCCTCTCCCCACAGCTGCCCCTCAGCCCCTGGCGCCTCCCCTCTCTCCATCTCCCTGCGCTCCAAGTCCATGACGTCAGAGCTGGAGGAGATGGGTGAGGGGCTGGGGGCTGGGGGCTTGGGGGGTCCTGGAGGGTTTAGGGGGTCTGAAGAGGAGGTTTGTGGGGGGTCTAAAGGGGGCTTGGGGGTTTGGGAGGGTCCCGGGGGGTTTGGGGGTTTGGGGGGCTCTGGGGGGTCCTTGGGTGGCTCTGGGGGTTTTGTGGGGTCCTGGGGGTTCAGGGGTCTGGGGGGTTGGGGATCCCAGGGGGAGATTTGGGGGTCCTGGAGTGATATGGGGGGTTTGTGGGGTCCTTAGGAGTTTGGGGTCCCTGGGGGTTTTGGGGGATCTTTGGGGGTCTGGGGGGTCCTTGTGGGGATTTGGGGGTCTTTGGGGGTTTGGGGGTGAGGGGGGCAAGGGTGGGGTCTGAGAGAGGGGTTTGGGGTCCCAGGGGAGATTTGGGGGTCCTGGAGGGATTTGGGGGGCTGGGGGTCCTTGGGGGTTGGAGGGGTCTGGGGGCTCGGGAGGCGGGGTCCCTGAGGGGATTTGGGGGTCCCTGTGGAGGTTTGGGGGTCCCTGGGGGGTCCTGGTGATTTTGGGGAATTTTGGGATCTCTCAGTGAATTGGGGGAGGGTCCTGGGGGCCTTTGTTGACCTTTAACCTTTGACCTTGACCCCCTCCGGCCCCTCCCCAGTGGAAAGGGGTGAGTTGAGGGGAGGGGGAAAGGGGGTCCTGGGAAGTTTCTGTGACTCCCTTGGAATTCTGGGACCCCAAAAATCCCTCGACCCCCAGCCACCCCTGACCCAAAAAAACCCTCGAGACCCCCCAAAAACCCCCAAAACCTTCCCCAAAATCCCCCTAAACCCCCTCAAACCCCCCAAATCACTCCCAGACCCCCAAAAGCCCCCAAAGTCCCCTCGACCTCTCAAACCCCCCAAACCTTCCCCAAATCCCCAAACCCTCCCCAACCCCCTGACCCCTCAAATCTCCCCAACTCCTCCCCCAGACCCCCAAACTCCCTCTCAGACCCCCAAATCCCCCAATGCCCCCTAAATCCTCCAACCCCCCACATCCCCCCGAATCCCCCCAAATCCTCCCCAAATCCCCCAATCCCCCCACCCCCGACCCCCAAATCCCCCTCAAACCCCTCAAACCCCCAAATCCCCTCAAACCCCCTCAAACCCCCAAATCCCCCTCAAACCCCTAAATCCCCCCCAACCCCCCAAATGCCCCCAAATCGTCCTCAACTTTCCCCAGACCCCTCAAATCCCTCCCAAACCCCCAAAACTCCCCCAAAATCTCCCCCAAACTCCCCAAATTCCCCCAACCCCTCAAGACCCCCAAACTCCCCCAAATCCCCTGAGACCCCCAAAAACTTCCCCCAACCCCCTCAATCCCCCAACTCTCCCCAAATCCCCCGATCCCCAAAACCCCCTCAAATTCCCCCAAAACTCCCCCAAATCCCCCAACCCCCTCAACCCCCCAAATCCCCCCTCAACCCCCCCAAATCCCCCTCAAACCCCCCAAATCCCCCTCACACCCCCTAAATTTCCCCCAATCCCCCAAATCCCCAATCCCCCAGACCCCTCAAATCCCCCAAACTCCTCCCCAGACCCCCAAACTCCCTCTCAGAACCCCAAATTCTCCCCACCACCCCCCCAACCCCCCAGACCCCCAACCCCCCCAAATCCCCCAAATCCTCCCCAAATCCCCCTCAAATCCCCTCAATCCCCCAGACCCCTCAAATCCCTCCCAAACCCCCAAACTCCCCCAAAATCCCCCCAACCCCTCTAAATCCCCCCCAAATTCCCCCCGACCCCCAAGATCCCCAACCCCCCGAACTCCCCCAATCCCCTGAGACCCCAAAAACTTTCCCCAACCCCTCAAACCCCCTAATCCCCCAAATTCCCCTTTCCAAACTCCACCAAATCCCTCCCAGACCCCTCAAATCCCCCAAATCCCCCGAACTCCTCCCCCAAATCACCCCAAATCCCCCAGACCCTCCCAGGACCCCCCAAAATCCCCCCCAAAGCCCCCCAAAGCCCCCAAGCCCCCTCAAATTCCTCCCCAGACCCCCAAACTCCCTCTCAGACCCCCAATCCCCAAATCCCCTCAATCCCCGGACTCCCCAAATCTCCCCAAACTCCCCAAGCTCCCATAACGGGCTGTGTCTCCCCCAGTGTCCCCCTGGAAGAAGCGCAGTGGTGAGTGCCCCTTGCACACTCATTGCACACTCATTGCACACTCATGGCACACTCAGCTCACACCCATCCACCCCGGGCCTTGCACGCTCATTGAACCCCCCCTTGCACACTCAGTGTGCTGATTGAACCCCCTCGTGCACGGCCCTTGCACACTCATTGCACACCCATTGCACACCCATGGCACAGCCACGCCCCCCTGCCACACCCATTGCACACTCAGCTCACACCCATTGCACCCCTGGGCCTTGCACACTCATTGCACACTCACTGCTCCCCCCCAGGCCTTGCACGCTCATCAACCCCCTCCTTGCACACTCAGTGTGCTGATTGAACCCCCCCAACGTGCAAGGCTCACAGGGGCCTTGCACACTCAGTTCACACCCATCGACACCCCCAGGCCTTGCACACTCATCAAACCTCCTTGTGCAAGGCCCTTGCACACTCAGGGCACACTCATTGCCCCCCGGGCCTTGCACACTCATTGAACCCCCCTTGCACACTCAGGGCACACCCATCGACACCCCCAGGCCTTGCACACCCATCAAACCTCCTCATGCAAGGTTTGCACGGCCCTTGCACACTCATGGCACACTCATTGGACCCCCAGGCCTTGCACACTCATTGAACACCCCTTGCACACTCAGCTCACACCCATCGAGCCCTCGGGCCTTGCACACTCATCAACACCCCCATGCAAGGCTCCCAGGGGCCTTGCACACTCATTGCACACTCATTGCCCCCAGGCCTTGCACACTCCTTGGCTGGGCCTTGCACGCTCATCGAACCCCCTCGTGCGAGGTTTGCATGCCCAGACCCCCCCAACCCCCCTGACCCGGCCTTGCACACTCATTGCACACTCATCACACTGATTGACACCTCCCCAGGCCTTGCACACTCATCAAACCCCCCCGTGCGAGGTTTGCACGGCCCTTGCACACTCAGCTCACACTCATCGCCCCCCTGGCCTTGCACACTCATTGGTTTGCACAGCCCTTGCACACTCATCACACTGATTGACCAACCCAGGCCTTGCACACTCATCCAAACCCCCCCTTGCACACTCATAGGCTGGGCCTTGCACACTCAGCTCACACTCATCGCCCTCCTGGCCTTGCACACTCACTGAAATGCCCCCTTGCACACTCAGAGGGCACACTCATTGACCCCCCACCCTTGCACACTCAGCTCACACTCAGTGTCAGGGCCTTGCACACTCACTGGAATAAACCCCCCGCAAGGTTTGCACGGCCCTTGCACACTCATGGCACACCCATTGCCCCCCCCTTCCCTTGCACGCTCATTGACACCCCCAGGCCTTGCACACTCGTTGGCTGGGTCTTGCACACTCATCAAAACCCCCCCTCGCACACTCATTGCACACCCATGGACTCCCCGGGCCTTGCACGCTCATCGAACCTCCCCGTGCAAGGTTTGCACACCCAGGCTGTGGCCACGCCCCCCCTTTCACACTCATTGCACACTCATTGCCCCCCCAGGCCTTGCACACTCATCCAACCTCCCTGTGCAAGGATCACATGACCCTTGCACACTCATTGACTGGGCCTTGCACACTCATTGCACACCCATGGACCCCCCCCAGGCCTTGCACACTCACC